CTATATGGATATCTATGCCTGGAATGTACCACATTTTGACATTAAACTAGCCTGATTCATCAGTCAGTTTCACTTCATGGAAACCATCTGTCCTCGCAGCATTAGGATTCATTCGCCGACAGTAGGCAGTTACTTTTTTAATTTAACCAGTTGCTGCTATTTGGTCGTGCTGTATGTAATGCGCCACTAACGGGGCTAACTGGTATATTAAGCTTTTCCCAAATACTGTAGGAAGAAGGGCAACAACGTCTTTCCCCTTGATAAAATTCACCAAACTTTCTCTTTGTTCAGGCTTTAAATCCTCAATCTCGGGAATCCTTGCCAACACAGAATATATGGCTCTTTGCTGATTGGCTGGTGCCCAGACTCGCACTTCTGGGGTTCTTGCAAGCCATCTAGTGTATTCTGATTCCTGACCTAGTCAATTGAGCGGAGGCACTAGGTGGCTCCAGCCTGGCTCACATGAAACGGTTCTACTTGACATTTATTCAATTGCAGGTGGCTTTGTAGCTCAAAAATACCCAGAAAAACAGGCACTCTGAATGGGGGAGGGATTGCCTCTCCACAGGTCTGACCTGCAGCTTGGTCTGGTTTTGGTCTTCATGAAGTTAGAAAGGTTTAATGCCATACTGTGAAACATTCCAGATAAAGCAATAACATATCCATTGAGAAAAGCACCAAGTTATGTGATGCACCTTTAAGTAATTCTTGGACCACTAATTTGCATTTCTACTTGAGTCATTTTGAGTGATTTTGTAGTAACGTTACTCTTACTTCTTCAGATTTCTCAGTCTTTTTCATGTCCCTGCTGTATCGGTGATGTTCTCCTATACTAATCCTCTGAGCAGATTACTAACAAACACAGTGAGAGCCACCGTGCCCTGCTCCTGTTCAGCCGCAGTATAATTTATAGTGTTAGTCATTATTGTGTTGACAGCATCAGTGGCGAGGAGAGCGCTCTATCCCGCTCCATTGAGCACTCTTCACAAAGGTCATGTCACAGCAGTGTTACAGAGCACCCCCACACTCGCCATTTACTCTGGCTTTAATGAGACCAACAACTCCCAGCCACCACTGTACACACCCCACGCACACACCGCACACTCACAGCCAACAGGTTTAAATATATTCTCAAGGCAAAACACCGGAGATGAACTGGGACTGGACTGGTACGGTACGACACTGTCACAATATACATCTCACAGTATGATATTTATTGCAGTATTTTGTGAAGGCTTAATAAAACTATGGATATGAAACTTTTTCCTCTTAAAATGCCTTGACAGGATTTAACCCAAAGAAAAAGATTTAAAAGTGCTTATAACAGTTATTTCTTCATGTAGTCAGCACTGAAACGGAGCAAAGGATCATGGTCTATGTAGTTCCATCTGTTACTATACGATGTCAGGATATTACGGTTACTGTTGCATACCTTATGATTAAAAATGGTAGCTTTTAGCAAAATATAATGCCTAAGGTTGTTTTCACGTTCAAGAATTTTATGGTCTTATCATTTCAGATGGGGGGCAGGGGGCAATCTATGGATTTTTTGGACAATTTAAAACAAAAAACATGTCATTTTAGTCGTGAAAAGTCTCAGAATGTTGGTACATAGTGTGACTTTTCAGGTGGAGCGTCCATCTTTTCTCCATGGAGATGTTATTGCTTTGTCTGGAATGTTTCACAAAATGGTATTAAACCTTTCTATCTTCATGGAGACCAAATCAGACCAAATTACAGGTCAGACCTGTGGAGAGGCAACCCCGCTCTACATTTTCTAGATATTTTGGGGTAATAAAACCACATGCAATTGAAGAGCTAGAGCTGTTTAATGTCATACTGTGGAACATTCCAGGGAGAGCAATGACATAGTATCTATAGAAACAAGCAGGTGATGGACCCTCAACCAAAAAGTTACACAGTGCACCTTTAAGTCCGTTCAACTAACAACAATCATCAATCCTTTCAACTAACAACAATCATGTCTTTAGCAAATGAGAAAAAGGTCACATTTGTTGACCCATGGTGACAGAAAACATTGAACTGTGCCTGTTTTTATTTCACATTATTAGCCTTGTAATTACAGAGATATTAAAAGGGCCTGAACCTGTTTTTTTTTTTTGTTTTTTTTTATGTACTTGAACAAATGTGTTGTGCCCCAGTACAGATAACAGCTCTTGAGGTCAAAATAAGTCCTCTGTGTACTGTCTGCATCTAATTATGAAGCGTTTTATTTTATTTATATTATAGATTCAGGAAGTGTACACTTAGCATGCCAGTTGTTGCTAGGGATTCTAGAATGCTGTGATGTCTATATGAAAAAATCTTATTAAAAAGTCTTATTATAAAACATTGCGAATTCATAGTGATTTGAATGGAACAAATAGCAAATTGCAAAAGCTGACATTTTAAAGTGCCATCATTTTCTCCACAAACAATGAAATACCCTGTCTAATAGCCCTGTTGTTTAGATCTGCACAAACATGTTCTGGAATGTGTCTTTTTGTCAGTTCTTCTATGTGATGTGTTTAAAATGTGACCTTTGAATAGAATCCTATAATTAAAACACAAATCACAAATCTAATCACAATACACACAATTAGAATAGTTCCAATCTAATTCTAACTATCACACTACCTCTTGGATCACCATACTGGGGGAAAATTCTAATTTCATGTTTCTCTTCACATTGTTAAGTGAACTACAGCCCACAGATCATGTCCTGAATGCAGGAAATAGGTGTACCTTATAATCTGTAACCCCCGCACACAACACAAATAGCATCTACCACCATGTCACCACCACTTATTCTCATTCGTGCTTTCAATTTCACTTGAAAAGATGAGAAAAACGCTTGGACCAGGCCATAGTTAAAGGCGCTGTACCTGATTTTTACTGTCTTGAAATGTGAAAAACAGAACTAGATGATGGACTTTTAATTTAAAATCTACTCTTCTGAGCTTTAAATCATGTTATAATATACCTGGAGTTGTGTTTTCGCTTATTTTCTGCATTCCAAGCATTCTAATTATTCACAATAATTCTAATTCTTTTCCCAACTCTTAGAGCACCTGATTATCTGACAATTAAACGCTTTATAAATTAATCCAAACAGAACACCAAACCTTGAGAGCTGTTTATACAATATATCTGCACTGGGGCAAGACAGCTTTTGCGCAAATACAGAGGAAAAACTCAGGTACAGGACTATTAAAATAACAGATATTGCTCTTGGTTATGTTTAGATACTCCTTCACTAAAGGTGCACTGTGTAACTTTTCTAGCGGAGGGTTTGCTTTCATGCTCATCTCCGTGGAGATGTTTTTGCTTTGTACGGAATGCATCGGTGTGGCATTAAACATATCCATCTTGCATTTACTCAATAACATGGGTGTTTATTTACCTAAAAACTTGCATTCTTACAATGAGTGGATTCGCCCATCCACAGATTTGACATGTAACTTGGCCCTGTGGCGTCACCAGCTGTCTCTGTGGAGATAAGTAACTGTAATTCTAGGGAACATGTCCATAGAGAAAAGCAGATGACGGCCAGACCACCAGAAAACTTATTCAGTGCACCTTTAAGATAAAGTTATGGCTAGATTGCACAGATGAGATTGAGGGTTTGTTTTGGGTGATTGTACCAAGCTGTTTGCTGCCAATCGCTCTCTCACAGCAGCCAAGTACATGATTAGCATTTGACTGGCTGGATTTCTGTCAAGGTTTGAGGAGATTGTTGAAAACAGAAAGTAAACAGCATTTTAATGCAACATACTGCTTAAAAATAGTGCATAGCAGGTAAACAGAATCAGAGCTGTTTCAATTTACAACTCCTCCCACTAGCTCAGTATGAATTCTAGCTTCTCACAAAAGTTTAAAAATGACTTCCGGACACTAATTCAGAGCACTCAAAAGCTAAATTTTAATCATGCCATCCCATAATGCAGTGGTGTTGGCATGTTTAAAACACTGTATTTGTATTACAATGAAAGAGGATAAGTTGCTTGGTAATTTTGCAGATGATAGATTGAATGGCCTTTCTGTCACAACCAGGCACATTACTATTACTGGTGTGGAGAGGGGAAATGTCTTGCTCATGAGCACAACAAAAATATATGATCAGCCAGGGCTTGAAGTAACAACCTTAGAATTCTTAGGCAATAGTTTACTATAGAACCACTGTTCCCCCATAACTTTAAAGGTTCACTCTGTAACAATTTTGGTGATGGGTACATACACCACTTGCTTATCTCCATGAAAATGTTATCGCTTTGACTGGAATGCAAAATTTTGAAAAACGTGCATTGTTATTGTGAGCAAGTCACTTCTCCACAGATCTGACCTGTAAGTTGTCACCTGCTGCTCTTCATCAATTCGGAAAAGTAATGCCACACTGCGGAACATATTAACAAATCCATGGAGACAACCAAGTGGCTGGCCCTCCTCCAGGAATGTTCCATAGTGCGCCTTTAACATACACATTTAAGTCTGTGGATATGACAAAGTGTGACGTCAGTGCTAAATGTGGTGGCTACAGCTGACTCACTGCAGGATGACTGTGTAAACATTTGTCTCCAACTTCAGAGAAAATCAAACAAACATGTCTGTGTCAATAGCAGGCCCTCACATTTGTTACCCAACAACTTTCAATGTTCACTTTTTCCATCTTATCACTCAAATGTCAGTGCCCGATTGAGTGATTGATTTGAAATCTTCTGTATTTGACTCTCTTTAGGTTTTGCAATGACTCATCAGAAGTAGAAACATCAAATCAGAAAACTAAATTGTTATGCCAAGTGTTTACCGTTTTAAATCCTTGGGTGTACAGTCTCTCTACTCTTAATTTAAAGTCAGATTTAAGATCAAATTGAAAATTACTTTTGGATGGAAGTCGAAACCTTCAATGTTTGAAACCTTCTCTACCATGGACCACACCTGGACAAATGAGGAATTACACTGGCTGTCTAAATAATACTGACAGGTGATTAGCGTTGCCTCACCTCTCTGTGGGTGCGGGGCCTCTCAGTGCAGTATGCCGTGGTGCTCCAGTCTGGGGCAGGCTCCTGGTTCAGGGAGCGAGAAGACCTCCTCAGGCTGTTCTTCAGTGCCTTTACCCCGAGGCTCTCCCCAGGGCTGCCCCATGCCCCCTGTGAGCTACTCCAGTCCACTAACGTACGAGAGTGTCCAATGCTGTGCTGTTTATTAGAGTGTCCATTGGAGTGTCCATTAGTGTGCCCACTGGTGTGTCCACCGGTATGTCCACCAGTGTGTCCACCAGTGTGTCCACCAATATGTCCACCAGTATGTCCACCAATATGCCCACTAGAATGCCCATTTGAGTGCCCACTAGTGTGTCCACCAGGGTGTCCAGTAGAATGTCCACTAGTGTGTCCAGTAAAATGTACTGTAGAGTGTCCTAATGTATGTCCGTCTGAGTTGTGTCCATCTGTGTGTCCATTTGAATGTCCACTGGTTTGTCCACTGGTATTTCCACCTGTCTGTCCACCTGTGTGTGCTCTAAGGTGTCCAGTGGATTGTCCTGTAGACTGTCCACCAGTGTGTCCTTTGGAGTGTCCATTAGTGTGTCCGATGGTGTGACACTGAAATGACGGAGGAGAGGGGAGAGTGTCTGCATGTGAGGGAGAAGGGTCAGTTCCCTCAGCATTGTCTGCTTTGTGTACCTTGTGGTCTAGCTGATTGAGTTTGGACAGAAGCTGTGTGATCTCAGAGCGGACTCCTGACAGAGACTCCAGCTTCTTCTCTATCTCTCCGATCCTCTGAACCAGTCGGTGCACGTTGGATTTGAGCTCGTCATCACTGTTGTCCAGAGAGTGGAAGAGGCTGTCCAGTCTGGATTTAGCCAGGCGCACTGTACTGCGTTCAGGGGAGCTGTCTGACCTCAGGGTGAGCTGGGACAGAGATCCGGTGCTGTTGTAACAGGAGGACTGGACCATGTTCAGGGAGTCACACACACTCATGTCATCCAGAAAGCGGAAGATGTCACTGATGTCGTCACTGATCATCTCTGAGTCAGTGCGGCTGAAGCTCCTCAGTCTCCTGGGCTCACTACCCTGTTCTGTCTGAGTGCCCACACTGGGGCAGACCTCTCCTCTCTGGAAGCCTCTGCCCACAGGCCTGCCCTCCTTTCTCTCCACACACTCAGGCCCATTGCTTAGTGGTATCAGCTCTTGGCCTTTGAAATCACTGACCTTCTTGGTAAAAGCTGGAGACGATGTTGTAGATGGCTCTCGGTCCCCGTTAATAGCCGTTATGTTTCGTAGGGGTCTCTTGGTGGCCATGGGCCTTGTGCTGGGTGTGGGCACATACTCAGTGTTGAGGCTGAAGCTCTTCACAGGCCGGGCTGGTCTAACTGGTTTGGGGTTGCTCTTGTGGGTGGTCTCGGGCTCTCTGTCAGTGAACCTTCTGGTGCTCACGCTCTGGGACACAGTGCTGGGGCCAAAGTATGTGGAGGCCTGGAGGTCATCCAGACTTTCATGCTTGGCGCGCTGTCGCTCTTCCAGAGGAGAGTTGAGTCCTGGGTCCATGTATGGATTGGTACAAGGCAATTCAAAACTGTGGTTGAAGAACACAGCAGGCCTGTGGAGCTCCCTCTGGTGGACGCCCTCTATACACTCACTGGCCTGTCTGATCACCTGCAAGAGCATTATAAGGAAGCATCAAATCAAGAAATACTGTTAGATCAGTTCAGTGTTCCACAGAACAGTTCGTTCACAACAGAGAAAATACATATTTAAGCTAAATGCTTAATAACATTTCTCTTTTATCTTTCTAGTTCTTAATATTATGTGGCATAATGTGGCATATGGAATGTGTCGAATAAACACATGAAGTATCATTATTCTAACATTCATCTTCAGTGTGAGGCCTAGAGTAGCAGTGACATACTCAGCAGTAGTCTGGAGGCACCCACCTTTGGAGAGAAAGCCGACATGTTGTGAAAGTCCTCTTTGAAGACGTTCCTCTTGTGGACACAGGAGCGTGTGGAGAGGGGCTCTTGGGGGCCCGGCTGTGGCTGTGAGAGGGACTCCTGCTCTGTGCTGGCTTCACTCTCTGCCTCCATAGGGAAGTACGTACTCTGCATCTCACAAGAGGGGCCTAGGGTCCCGGGGCCATAGAGGGGCAGGGGGTGCAGTTTGTCTAGAGACGCAGCTCTACATTTCAGGTCTTTACTGACTCGGAGCAGGAAGTTGGGCTCAGAGGCAGGGATGAAGTGGTGCTGGCTGCTCTCTGGCCCTGGTTTGGGGCTGTGGGATGAACCGTGGAGAGGGTGTGGAGGGCGGTAGTCTGATCCCCCCACAGAGTGATTCTTGATGAGGGGGGCCCGGGACAAAGGCAGCCTCTCTTTGGCTGGGCTTCTGTTCTGGATGAGATTAAACATGGACAAGATATCTACAGCCACCTGTAGTTTTTTGGAGTGAGGGTCCACTGAGGAGCAGCACATCCTGTCTCTGAAGAGCGTGGCCGGGAAGGAGGGGTCCTGGCTCGCAGTGTGGAAGAGCAGATTGCGCACTTTGGCCAGGTGCACCAGGTCGAAGCGTGAGCACAGCCAGCGGCATAGCTCTGGGTGGGACGCACTCTGATGTTTGGACTTCAGCTCCGACAGCATCTGACCCAGGACCATGTGGTACTCCCTCGGGTACTCCCCAGGGTGCTCCATGACTGCGGACACAAACTCAGTTAGTGCCTACATTTCACACTAATGAAACATTATTTAACACAGTGATAAACTCTAGACACAGATGGATATTTTCACACAGTTTGGCCTTTAAGCTTAGATCAAGAGGAACATCGTGGCCATGCATCTTTTTTCAAGGTGCTAAAGCCGGACTAGCTACACTGCATCTACAAATACAGTGCCTCTTGTCTGTGCATCTGCATCTTCTGCAGAGCCTTCAATAGAGCAGACGCGTGCACGTGCGCACGCGCCTACTCCAAGGATGCAAAATGAATCAGACCTCGACAGAAACTCACCTGCTTAGTGTCTAACGGGACGACACTGTACCGTTCATTTGATGAGAATGAGACCGAAAGAGTGCGCGGCTGGAGGAGACTGCGCGCACACGGCACAGCGCGCGCACACTGGAGCTATTCCTTCAGCAGCACCCATTTATAGGCTTGTGTATCCAAGCAGCTCCAGGCAAAAGCAGGTGGAGGCATCTGCGGTTCTCACGGATGCGCCTTTTGGAGGTGAGTCGAGACCACCTTTCCCTAACTGGCCCCGGGAGTCCAGGCCCCCGGGTGTTCTGGCCCCTCCTTAGTCTCCGCTGGGCGCTCAGACAGCTGCGGCTGTAATGGACTGTATACAGTTCTGAAAACCATGTGTCAAAATAATACACGACACGCTCGTACATCCGGGTTTGCCCTCCACAATAAAAGAGATACAGTGCGTATACAGTAAAATGTCCACTACACTCTGTTTAGGAAACGCATATTTAAGTCTGTTTTCTTCAGAGTTTAGCTGTCTTCTCTTCACAGCAGACACTCAACGTCCATTGCGGATGAACTTTTAGATAAACAGCCATAGGCCTAAGAAATACTGCAATATACATATGCACAAGGTATAGGGAGTTTGTTGTGGAGACAAAGCTCTTATCCGTTTTGTAGCTCTTTGTTCAGGCTGGCAGCTAGTGACGTCACCTTAACACGCTCTCATCACACAAATATATATATATACAGTATATATACGTATATAATGAATCCAGGCATATGGCAGAAACTGTTGCTTTTTATTTTGAGTTTGACATTATTTAACAACCACGGAGAAGACAGGTGAAGTGGTTGAACTTGTATAATATTGTTCTATATTTGACATCATAACACCCAATGTAAAATGTAAAAAAGAAAAGAATACAATAAAAAAAGAAAAAAAAAAGAAAAAGTTGCTCTGTCTCAGAGATGGATATTCAGAAAGAACTGTCTGAGATTGAACTTACAGTACACAAAAACAGTAGTGGACGAGAGCATAGCACCATATTACTTAAAGGTGCACTATGTCACTTTTCCAACGGGGGGGTCTGCTGTCTGTTTGTCTTCGTGGAGCTGTAACTGCTTTGTGGTGAATGTTCCAAGGCATATTAAGGCATTAAAGTCATCAAGCCTGCATTTATAAAAACATTGAATTGAAAAACACAAATTCCTACTATGACTGAACTTGCCTCTCCACAGATCTGACCTTTAACTTGGTCTGGAAGCGTCATCTGTTTGTCCACATGGAGATTTTTATACCATACTGTGGCAAAGCAATAACATATTTGTAGAGGCAGGCAAGTGGATCATCAGAAAAGTTACACAGTGCACCTTTATCAATACTTAAAAAAAAAAAAGAATAAAGTCAACATGTTGCTACAGAGTTAACTGGGGTTATTTCAGCACCATGAATAAAAACATGTAGTGGCAGTCAAGAATGCCAAACAGACAAGTGTGCAAATAATACACAATAACAAGAGGAATACAAAAGTCCGTTAAATAATATACAAAATTAACAATATGACGCTGAATTCCACACAAGTGAATTGGGTCATATTATAGCACCATAAAGAGCACACTCACAGCCATCTCTGGAGGACAAGTCAACAGGTGTGTTTTCATTTTTCAAGGTCCAATATCATGAATGAATGAACTGTTTGTATAACTTCAATTTTGTATATGTACTAAAAACTAATTAATCTGTCAAAAAGTAGTGGGTCAAATGTAACCAAAACAATAAAGTACCTTAATCTTGCAAATAAGTGCATGTGACAAGTTAGACTGCTCATTTCACTCAAACATTGTTAACATCATTATAGTTAAATTTTCCAAAAAATCTTGCTTTATGTTTATAATTTTACTACCTGGATGGACACAGACAGAAAATATGTCATATGTTAAGGTAATTCCATAACTGTTCCATAGACACCATAATGTTTGCAGTGGCTAAACTAGTCTAAATTATACAATAAGTTGTTTAAACTGTCAGAGAAACATCTTCCTTGTAGGGGTGTAACAATATCCAAGGCTCACGATACGATATTGTCACGGTATGAACCTCATGGTACAATATTTATTGTGATATCGTGGGAAAACTCACGATATGGTGGGGAAGTTCATGATTAGGGATGTAACAATATCCAAATCTCTTGGTACGATATTTTCACGATATATATCTCATATTTATTGTGATATTTTGTATAGCAGCTAAAACTGTTAATATGCTATGTTAAGATGCTCTTAAAATGCCATGATAAAAAGGTAAGACTTGAAAGTGCTTAGAACTGTTATTTCTTCTTGTAGCCTGCACTGAAAATGGAGCAAAGGATCATGCACCATAACTCTTCATTTAAGCAAAGAGACTTGCAATTCGATATATTGTGATGGTCCACGATATTATTGTGAGTTGACGATACAATATCACGATATTTTGGTTATTGTTACATCCCTACTTCCTTGTGCATAAATTGTCTCTACATTTTGGATGGAATTGTCCCTGTTGATAATAAGTAGAGGGATTTCACTACTGCATGTATTTTTGTACTTTTCTTCAACTCTTTTCCCTCTTCCACTTAACTGATGTAAAACAATGATAAATATTTACAACAGGTACAACCCCACCAGAGAAGTAATAATTACAAAAATACAATAACCTGTCATATGCACTTTAACCTGTTACCACTGGCGTTGGTTAGCTGTTTAGAGTTGGAAATTAAATCACATGATGTAATCCAAATGGGTCTAGTGTACTTTAAAACGCAGAGGAGCATTTCCGGATTACTGTCATCCATTTTAAAGTGACAAGCAAAAGTTTTGAGCTTGCAGTATGGAATTACAATTTTTTTGATGATTACAAAAAAAAAATCATATTATTCCAAGGTTAAAATCTAAAATAGACAGTTTTGCATGATATTGGACCTTGTACAATGACAACATAATTCTCACCCTTTACTTTAGGGACCACATAATATTGGCACACCAAGTAGGCTAGTTTGTTAGAGCTCTGATAGAGTTCATGAAGTACTTATTATGTTTTATTCTGTTCTATTTTCAATGAATATAGCCATTAATAGTAGTAATAAGCAGTCTCTAAACTAAAGTTAAGTTCCACCTGAAGACCCCTGCTCCATTCTGACTGCTCTGACCAGGAAAGATGACTAAAGTAACACAGAGTCCCCTGGTGTGAACTGTTCAGGCCCAGCAGAGCCCTGGCAGAGGCACAGGTCTGCACTGAAGAACATAGAGTTACTTTAAACATGTAAAGTGCTGAAAGTGGCGTCTCAGGAGCAGGCAGCCAGCTGTGAAATGTGCATAATATTGTTTCAAAAGTACGGTTACAATAAACAGTTTGCATATATTACAGTAATGAACAAAGGTTTAAATTGTTACAATGAGTTTTTCTGTAAGGAACATTGTGTGTGACCATTCAGTTCATGTTTCACCAAGTGCATAAAAAGTGAACATTCTAGTGGTGAAGCGGGAGTCTTATTTCTGGTTGGCGGTTCAATCCTAGCTCCAACCAGTGCATAATGTTGTTGTGTATTTAGGCACTACACTTCAATGTGGTGTGTGAGAGATTGGTGATGTTTGGAGAGCTATGTTTCTTCCAGGTGGCTATCAGTGTAGCTTCCCACCACTGAGTATGGAGTGAATGAATAATGGTCTATTGAAGTGCTTTGAGGAGCTTGTCGAGCACAACATAAATACCATTATTATTACGTTATTATTATTATGTTTACATTGATGGTTTCAGTGGTGTCCAGCCATCAAACTATAATGTCTGGAAGTGTTTCATTAAAACACAGTGGATTATTTTCATCTGAAGACAGCTGTGGATGAGAGCGTGAACAGATGTCAGAAATGTGCTTAGCTACAAACAAAAGCAAAACATGTCTGAATACTTCAAGGAGTTCCTCACACTCATTTTTGGTGCATAGAAACGTTCTGGACATATTCAAGTCTTCATTTCAACTTTGAGCAAATATAAACAAGTGTCACCTACAGTCTTTGTGAGAGAATTCAAATAATTCTAAGAGCCGTGGTCACCGAGCTGCTGTGGTCAGTCAGTGGAGAGCAGGGACTTGTTGGCGTAAAAGTCCCGACAGGTCTGGCAGCAGCGCTGGTACCACCTCATGTCCTGGCACAGGTTCTTCTCTCGCACCACACGGCAGTACACCGCCCACTGATCCCCTCTGCACTTGTATGTCAGAGCTGTGAGAGGGACAGAGGACACGCCAGAGTCAGGGATGGCCTCAGGTACTGGACATACTAGTATGATGTGAGGCCTCTCAGTCAGGACCATGGTCAGCGAGTCATAATGTGAAGAGGTGCATTAAGACTGGAGGGATATTGCTTTAAACCTCCTATATTACGACACACAGAACACTGATACCTGGAGTTATTTGTTGTTTCAGTTTGCATTCAGCCATTGCCTTAATCAAGAGTTCGCACCATATATTCATATGCAAGCTCATATACTTATGGCTCTAGCTCTCTCGTTAGCTCTCTCGCGTGGCGGCGGTCTGCGCATGTAAACACTGCCGAACAACTGAAGAAAGTGATGGATCCGTGCACAGCCGCGCGCAGTGGTACGTACAGAGAGAAAATAGCGCCAAGCGATTATGAGATCTGACTTTTTTGGCGACGATGGTTTTGTGATGCAAATGTATCACTCTTTTGAACAAATATTGCTTTGAGAAGAAAAACGCTTTAGTATACAGTCCCCACACAACTTGCCGAACTACTTTCCTCAGCACCAAAACGGGCCAGTATCTCGGCTCACCGGACGCTTTCGGGGGTAAGTCGGTGTGGATGCACAACACTGATGACGGGGATGCCATACAGATTTATGTCAAAAAATCTGAACTATCCCTTTAAAACAAAACACAACTCCAGATATGTTTGTGATGAGGGAACATTAGAAAATACTGTAGATCAGAAAATATCACACTTTCTGAGCTTTTAACTGTGTTTTGACATTGTTCCTTCATCAAAAGTCTGTAGTTGTAGTTTACATAAAAGGTAAAAGGTAGAATCCAGGACTGTACCTTAAGACTGACCCAGGACCTGACATTTTATAAATACATGTTAAGTTAATGTGTTTACTGTATTCATTCAAACACTAGAAGCAGACATCTTGGGTGCAGTCACTGACCTAGCCTTGGGGAGGTGATGGTGTTGACATTGACTTTCTGGTTGCAGGTGTCCAGGTGACAGGGTCTGTAGGCCGGGAGTCTCAGCACCACTGAACACTCGTCACCGTGGCGACCAGTTACACGGTGCATGCACTGGACCACTCTGGACTGAAGGCCTTTCCCACAGGAGGACGAGCACTAGACCAGAACATCAAAGAGTGTGAGGTTTCAAGGTCATATTAATGATTTTAAAAATCCACTCTTCTGTGTTGCAGGATGAATATGTACAATAAAATTATTAAAAGGTTAGAGCAAAAATATTTTCTGTTTAAAAGATAAATTAATGCTGATTGTTACCCATGTGGCAACAGGTCAGAAATACACTCATTAATAAGCACTGCCTTAGGAAGATAGTAAACATGCTGATGAGATTCAGTTGTACAGTTCTGCATTTGTACCTTTGACCAGTCACCGGTCTTCCACTCATAGCACTGGGAGTGGTCCTGGCAGGGCTCCTGATGGGGGGGTCGAGATAGGGGGTCACAGAGGCCCTGGGGATTTGTACAGAGCACCGTCCTGCTGCGGACCCCCTCCCCACAGTCCGACGAACACTGCACACAAGCATCAAAATCATAATACTTATTCATTTAACTAAATAAGAACTCCTTTTCTCTTCTGGTGATGATAGCCCCATCCTCTTTTCCTCAGGGTGAATAAAAGCACAGGAGGGTAGAGAAACCAAAAACTGAACTCAAGTAAGAATACTGTTACTTCCAAATTCTACTACTCAAGTAGAAGAAAAAGGTATTGTAGAAACAACTACTGAAAACAGAGTAGTTGTAACTGTTTGGATATAATTATAATATATAAACACAAATTATTACTTGAGATGTGTTTATTTGGTAGGACAAAACATTAAATAATGCAATTTGGTATTTTGAAAGGATACAAACAAATGTGAGAAAAATGAAATCACATCTGAAGGAGAGTTACAAAAACAAATGTGAAAATCATTTCAAAATTGTCAACATAAAGTTTTTGTCACTTGTATACTCACAGTGGGAAGAGTACTGTTACACTGTCAAATATTATATAAAATGTGTGTAAGGAGCAAACATACTTGAGTGAATGTATCTGACTACTTCTGTATATAATATAAAATCATAATCAAAGAAATATTTGACTCAGGAAGCACTATGCAGTATATTTACTCCTACTTAATCCCACTGAAAGAATATACTGTTCATTTGGATAGCTGATATAACTGTCTAACTGTCTTACCTTGGACCACTCGGAGGCCTCCCACACGCTCAGGCAGAGCCGTCCCTCACAGGCTTGCACCCCGGGGGGTTTGCCGCTCTGGCAGTACAGGTCCCTGGTGTGGATGAGAGAGCCGTTCTGCAGCTGGTACACACAGCCCACCTCCCTCTGCTGGAGACCTTTCCCACAGGTGACAGAGCAGGACCCCCACTCGCCAGTAACCCACCTGCCATGTGCAATGCAAAAGTTAGACTGGAATATTACCGTGAGTCATTTACTGCATTTACGCACTAACACAATGTGATACAATATGAGATTCACTGATGAAATAAATAGCAACGTGTTTCCATCAAAGTGTCTGAGGGCCTATCTGCATGCTGGTTACCTGGCAACGGGACCACAACACTACGTCCAGCATGTGTGGTTTGGTTTCAGATGTGCACTCACTATTGTTATTCAATTTTATTTACGCTTGTCTTGTGTGAAAGCAGTTTGTCTAACCTCCAATTATGCTATGGAGATGTGTTATAACAAAGGCCCACTGTTTTTTCACACTCTCCTACACAGTGGAAATGGAACCAAGTTTAAGTGGCCTGATTTTCTATGTTTTCAAACAAAATTTGTCTTATAAACTCATCGTAGTGAATAATTAGGGTGCCCTGAATGCCTAAGGTAAGTGAGGAATAACTTTAGACCACTGTAAACTAGATAAAATGAAACTAGTTCTGTTTTTCTTCATTTAAATACAACTTCAAATTTCATTTCTTTAAAGGGTGTCAAACTGTTCTTAATAAAATATCTACTGCATTTTGTGTGTGTCTCACCTGTACTGACAGGGGTGAGAGTTGCAAGGCCGGACCTGTGGGAGGGGCCTATTCTCAGGTTGGCAGAAGCTGTCACTGACCACATCCATGCTCTTATTGGCTAATCTCATACACGACACCACAGTCCTCCGCTCCCCTAAAACACACAGCAGTGAATGTGTTGTGTTTAGCAGCAGATTAGATTATAGATTTTTATTAGTGCTGTCATGCGAGTAAAAAAATTGAGAGATTAATTAATTATGATATGTAATTAATTAATCTAATTAATCTCTTTTTAATCTCACCTAAAAATTGCTGAGAAAAGCCTTCAATTTGAGGTATTTTCATTTAAATTCATTATTACATTATTGTGGCAGATCAAAAGACTGATATAGAACAAAAAAAGTGACTTTATAAAGTCATTTATTGTTTAACAAATCTCTCCAAATTGGCTGTTGAGCCCAAGTCTCCATGAATAAGAAACTGTTTGCTGTAAAGTAAAGACGAGGAAATCTGAACATAATAACTTTTGTCTACTTAAAGACAATAAAAAGTCCAGTCTTTCCTTAACCATTTAAAAAATATTATTGATAGAGAAATGCTTTATATATGAGATCACTGGTTTTAGTCCTTGTTTTAGTCCTGGTTTAGACCTGCTTTAGTCCTACTTTAGTCCTAGTTTAGTCCTGGAATTGATTAATCCTGGTTTTAGTCCTGGTGTTTAGTTTAGACCTGGTTTAGACCTGGTTTAGACCTGGTTTAGACCTGGTTTTAGTTCTAGTTTTAGTTCTAGTTTTAGTTCTGGTTTTAGTTCTGGTTTTAGTTTCCTGGATTAGTCCTGGATTAGTCCTGGATTAGTCCTGGTTTTAGTCTTGGTGTTAGTTCTGGTTTAGAGACGCACAGGAGGAAGCGCGGTTTACGCCGCGTACGCGAGAAAACACGATCCACACACACCGCACTGGAGCACGTCGGTGTCCGCGCAGTAACTACGGAAGGAAACGTGGTCCGCGCGTTCTCAGGTTAATGACGATGATGAAGGTGTGTGTTTGTGTTTGTTTGTGTATAGGACAGTAGTGCAGACATGAGCCTATGCAGGTTGTTTTCACCAGTGACATTTAAGTTGTAGGCGATATTATATTTGTTATTTTCTTTTATATTTCACGTCGGGAGAAGAATTTCCAAGACACGAATGTGTTTTTACCTGTGCACTGCTGACTCTGTTCTACTGGCTCTTCGACCTCGTCCATTGTGCCTGACGCCGCCAACGTTAACATGATGTTTACATCGCTCTTACTGCGCGCGTTTTGTGTGGGTTTCCGGCAATGAGTGGAATTACCGAAATAAAAAAAATGTATATATGTGTTTTTTGTGTGTGTGTGTTGTTGTTGTCCCAACAACACATAAAAACAGGTTTTATAATAAAGCAACTCGCATACAGAAACACTAAAGTTAGAGATTAAAAATGAGATTATCGCGATTAAAAAACATAACGCGCTAAATATGACTGTAATTAATTAATCACAATTAACGTGATAATTTGACACCCCTAATTTTTATATTAGATTCTCAGTCATGATTGTGTTAAAATGTAAATTCCATGAAACACACACCGTCCATCAATACCTTGGAGTTATGTGCTAGACTGGGAACAATTTTGAACTTTCAACAAAAATCTGTTATAAAATTCTAAGCTACTTGCAAGAACTGATTATTTCAAAGAGAAAAATATGTATGCGGAAAGCTTGTCAAATTAATCCAGTGTTAAAAGACACTTCAATATGTGCATCCTTAGGTCATGAAACTTAAAAATCTAGAGTCAAGTTCTGGATTAAAAAGAATCACTAGTTTCACAGAGAAAAAGTAGACCCATGATCCTTTGGGGGTCTCACCTCCTCCACACTGCACTGTGCAATCCAGCCAGCGGCTATGGGTCCAGATGTAGAGATGCTCAGGCTCTTTCTGCTCCACGCTCACCTCTGATGCGTTCAGGGTCACTGTGTACTCGTAGTGAATCTCATAGCTCTGGTCATGGAACAGCAGCACCTGAACGCAGCACACAGCATTTAATATCAGAAACTATGGACTCCGGGCTTGGGTCTCTCACCATGAGGTGTAGGGGCAGAGTGGTGGGGCCCTTGGCGGACATCTTCTCCCACAGTCCTCTCCTCACATAGCGCACAGTGGTCCCGGCCACCTCGAACTCTCCCGGCAGCTCAATCTTCCAGTCACTGTTGATGGACCTCTTCCCTGAGTCTTTGAGAGCTGTGACAAAGACATTTGGGTTTTTGTTTTGTTTTTAGATGAGAAAATCTGCTCCTAATAAGATTGAGTTGTAAATTGTTATTTTGCCAGTAACCTACATCAGAGTACTGCATGGGTCCTTTTTTGTAGACCCACATGTGCCCGCACCCGCGCAATACAGCACTGCACCCGCCCGTAAACCCATGATTATATCAAAGTTAAACCCACCTGCCCAGACCCATCAACATTGCATCCTGTTACCCGCACGTGCCCGTTATAAATCACACACAAATCATTCCAACTGAAGCATCCATCAGAATATGAATTGAAAAGTTACGGCTTCAAGAATTACAATCATGAAATTAAATGACTCGAATCTCATCACTTCACAGCCATTATTTACTGAGCAGAAGAAACACTGACTGAGATGCTGCACTTTTGCACCACACATGTCACAGATTGAACCAAGACTAAATCAGGACTGACCCAGGACTAACCCATGATTCCAGGACAAAACCAGGAGGACTAAACCAGAACTGAACCAGGACTCACTGTCAGGACTGACTCGGAGGTGTGCCCGCGTAGACTGTCGGGTGACCACAGGCGAAAGGACCGGAGCAGATCTCTGCACGCACAGAGGTAAGTGCCACCTTCGCTTGATTGCACTTTCTCTCTCGCTTGGGGTTCTCTATCTCTCTTAAGTCCAAGATTAGTTCTGGTGTGGTCCTGGTTTAGACCTCATTTAGTCCTAACCTGCCCGTGTGTAATCATTACCCGCCTGCATACCTGCCCGTAAAGTACCAGAACATTAAAACCCGCCCGCGGGTATCCGACCTGGTGCAGGACTCTGACCTAGATATAGAGTACACAGGTTATTCTCATTCTCAATGACTGAGCAGGTCATGCCTCATGTAAAAGCTCAGAACCTCCAGAGTTCACGAGTTCAAGCTGAAGAGGCTGCACTAGCACTGACTCATGCTTGGCTGCAGGAGCTGGGGTTTAGGTGTTGACCATTCAGTGACATTTTAAAGTTTAAACCTAAACTGTATTAAGGCCACTCAAATGAGAGACTCCTCATTCTGCTTTCTGACTGTATTGTCTTGAGACTCATGACATCAAATTAAAAAGATAAACAACCTGGACAGCATGTATATTGTCTTTCATTGTTCAGTATTAGAGTCAGAGATCGTCACTCAACCTTCAAAATCTGGCACTGGGCTTTTAAAGTACGTGCAGAAGCTAAAAAGTAGAACAAACTGGAAAAGGCCAAAACCTCCCAAAGGAAACAGAAAATGTGTGCATCTTTACCCAGGAAGCTGTGAGAAGGCTTGCCCTCCACCACTTTGATTCTCCGCGCTCCAGCAGGGATGACCACAGCCTCAATGTACCCTGCACAAAGACACAGAGGAGACATCAGTATTCAGTATCAGCAGATCCTTTATTATAGGAATCATGTCTGAAAAAGTATATTGTGATAAAACTGATAGAGACAGAGGAGAGGTCTATATCTGTTCAGGACCGCAGGACAAGATCGAGTACAAGGAGGACAGGCAAAAAGAGAGACAGTTTGGAGAATACATAGCACATGAAAACAGAGGACACATCCAGAGCTGTTTGGGACTGGTGGACAAGAAGGAGGATAATTCAGAGGATAGACATCACATAGGGAGACAGAGGAGACATCCACAGGACTGGGGGACAAGAAGGAGGATAAGAAGGTGGACAGGCAAGTGGGAAGACAGAGACACCACATAGCTACATGAGTCCTGTGGCACCGCTGAGGGACAGAGTGGGACAGCTAGAATTTTTCTACTGGCAAAGTTCACTTCTCGCACATTGTATGTTTCTGTCTAACATAAATGCATGGACTCAGTCACTACAATAGCAAGCATGAGTCACAGCACTATTGTCAGGCCTGTTCCTCAGATGGAACCATGGTCAGCCATAGACCACTAATTACATCAGGGAGTGCCTACGCATATGTAACTGTCATTGGAATTATTATTATGAGATTACATGGGGTAGTGGGGGTGGTGCTAACTGTGCTTCAAAGTCCTCTGAGAAAGTACTATGACGACTTAATTATCCGCTTATGTACTATAAAGTAGTAAAAAATAATTACGTTATCAGCAGAAAGCATTGCAAAAAAAAAAAAGTGTTAAATGACTAGAAGTGCATATGACAAGTAGGACTACACATTTCACTAAAATAAATATATATGTTTATCAGCATTTTGGTCAGAATTGTCAGAATAACCAAAAAGAAATACATATTCAGTGATTATGACACAAATAATAATAATTTAATTTATAATAAAATAATTTAATAATAATTTCAATGTTTAATAATAATAATTTCAATGTACACCTGAATTGTGGTATATCACTTGTATGATTCCATAACAATAGAAACTTTATAACTTTCTTCATGGATAGGTTTTATGTTATACTATAGGGCTGTGCAATATGACCAAAAAAATACATCTTCTTTGCACACAATGGCATTCTTATCATATCCTACTATTTAAGAAATTGTAACAAGCATTAATCTAACAAATTTGACTATCTGCAAAGCCCTATATAATACTGCTGAAGTTTATATCCAGAGGAACAATATTTCCATGGAAACAAGCAAGAGGAAGCTCTCCTCAAGGCCAAATAAAAGGACCAAGCCAAATCTTTATCAGGACAAATTAGTTTTATGACTTGATCTTCAGCTTTTTGCCATGAGGCTCTGTGATAATGCTTATAGATCAGACTGACCCATTCCTTTGGTGTGGTTGAAGTCTCCTCTGACCACTCGACACAAACGTCCATCCCCATTACACACCCCACAGCGGTCCTCCTTAGCAGCAGAGCCGATGATGCCGTCACAGCCGATTTTCTACAACACAAGACAGAATACAAAATTAAAGTCAAAAGATTTACAGTGATCTTATGCATTCACAATTAGGCAGATTAAAAAAGTATTTAAGGGGCAGGTTTCATGACACTCACGGACAAAAGGTAAAAACAAAGACATAAAAATGGACAAATGAAAGAAGGCTATGTTTTGAGCGTGTGTCTCTATTGTGAGTGTGATGCAGGAGAGGTGTTGGGCAGTAATGTGTTAGAAAGGGATTACTGTACAACTAGTTAGATTACTTTTTTTAGTAACACATCAGTGAGTGAGGTGTAACACATGTTAAAATTGAGTTATTATTACATTTAATTTCAAATAATATTAAGTGAATTTACAAATTCAGATAACTGACCATTACCTACATTTTCTACATGTTTTTTAAATCTATATAATATCATTATAATCATCATAATAAAAGTATTAGGAAAAATTTACACTTCCTTGCAGACTGAAATAAGTTGTGACTGCCAATCTGCATCTACTCTCATAGTTTTACACTTTTCTTTTTGAAGCTAGAGCTGAAACTATTACCTACTCAGCTGATCCTGCATATCTCATCTCTGCACTATATTGTGTATTGTGAGTGTACCTGACACCTCCCGTTCACACAGAGGTCAGCCTCGTACGGGCCACAGGGCGTCCCGTCCATCACCCGCTCCGACACTAGCACTGGAACACTGCGCCCCACTGGACTACAGAACAGCATGCAGGGCTTCTCTAAGAACAAGAAGTGCAAGGAACAGTTATGGAGGCCAATGGACACATGATTCATAAACCTTGTGTCCATTTTAACTGTAATGTGATGTATTGTATGAGGACAGCCAGCAGGTGTATAGTTCTCGCTTAAACTTATATGAGTAACTTTAAAGAAAACATACTGTGCTTTTGTCTGCTATACAGATATAATCTATAACTTCTGTGAATCATTGTGCTATATTCTGGGCATTTTAAATCATAATTTTGATCTAACACCACTGTGTTTGGGGAATTGCTGGGCCCAATGGGAGCTGATGTTTCCATAAATGTAATGACAACAAAATGCTGCTCTGCAGAACCATGCACTGCAGATTACACAAGCAAGCATTTTTTTTTTTTCATTTGTATCAATATGGTTTCATGACACTGAAGAATCCTACGCGTATCAGAAATAAAATTGCTCAGCAGTGGGTGTGTACCAGTGGTGGTGAAAACAGAGTAATCCAACAACCACAAATCACTCTTAATACAACTTTGAGTGGATACGAAGGACAAGGGGAAATAATTATGGTTAAAAATTCTGAAAAGAAAATTTAGCATAATAGATCTCCTTTAATAAAACTGTACTTTTCAGAATAGTTTTCTGGCACCATACTTTTACAAGTACTTGAGTGTTTAATTTGAAGTCGTTTGAAGTACTTGAGTAGAGGTTTTGGTTACTGTTTTATTTTACATCCAAAGTCAAGTAATAGTTTCTCTAAATACATTTTTTATTCTTACTTGAGTAAAAACATATATACACAATACTTATATTACTACTATATTTCTACTTGAGTAGTATAATTTTAAAATAATACTACTCTTACATTCCATGTAGCTCTGATAGTAACATAAAAAGTAGTAGTGTTTATTGAATGCCTCTTTCATGTGCTTCTTTCTATATATATATTACTGTTTCTTTAACATTGCTAGCCTGGTTAGATGAGACTAAAGCTTTTCCAATTCTATACACAGAAGTCTGGATTCTTATCAGTGGGACTTTTACTCTCAAATATGGACAGGTGATCAAGAAAAGGACTAAACACTACCAATCAGAACAATATACTTATGCAAGTTATGCAAGAGAAGCAGCAAGCTCTACTTCACATCTGAATGACATGCAGACTAACAGTTTGGTTTGTCCAGATTGGTTTGTCCAAACTTGAGAGAGCACTGTTTTGTTGAGGCGCGGGCACCAGACACATCCTTTCAGAATAAAGTAGGAGCTGTCATGCAAGGCTACAATTCTTCCACAATTAAGCAAATCATATGATGTGTGTTTTGGTACAGTGACACTGATCTAGCACCTAGAACCCAGACACAGGTGAACACAGGATGAAAACAATCCCCAAAACTGCTTCTTTGGTGACACTGGGGTTGTTATAACTTGAATTTCTGCAGAAGTTAAGGTGCATATTGACAAGTTTTCATATCCCTGATGTTTCTAATTATTACTTGGTTTGGTACTCAAGTGACAATTTATGGAAAAAGGTTGAGAAGAAAAGTACAAAAAGACAGGTAGTAGCAATAAGTTCTAAAACAAAATCTCTCTACATATCCCATCAACACCGAAAATTCCATCCAAAATGCAATTTACACACAAGGAAGGCATTTTTCTGACAATTTAAACCTTCATTTAACAAAATCATGGTGTCATTTATTTTGTTTCAGTGCATTTTAGACAAGTTATGGCTTTTGGTAACATTATGGTAGCAAGATAACATTTATGGAATTACTTACATATAGCTGCTACCCATTCTCAACCAAGTAAAACTTTTTTTTGTAAAATCTAAAATATAATAAAAAGTTAACTATGCTTTAGTGAAATTAGTAATAAATTAGTAAAATTAGTAATGACATTAGTCAGACATATGCACTTTAATGGTAATAGACAGAATATCTGTCTTTCTCCCAAGTAAAATAAGTTAGTCCCTCTATATTTTCTAATATAGAAGATGAATGAAGAAACTCTCACCATCATTTACTATGGCTGTCATCATACTGCTCTTCAGGAGAGGGAATTGTCGGTCATGGGACAGACACTGCAGGTCTCTGAAACTGGGGGCCCCTTTAGGACAGGGGGGCCTCTCACAGGCCTTATGCTCCACACTGGCCTTCTGACAGTGTCGGCCCCCAGGACCGGGACTGCAACCAAACACAGGCACATCAAAGAGGATATTAACACTAATATAACATTTAAAGAAGAAATACTTTTTAAATATTAAACCATATCAAATTTAGATCATGATGTTACATTGTGTTCATTGTAAACATCTAAAACCCCTTAAAAACACAGGTCAGTAAGGTAATGATGAGACATAAGGTAACATTGTTGAAAAGCTCATGAAAGTTGATTCCACATAATATTCTACTGAGTAAAGCTCTAATCTTTTTAAGTCAGTAGAGGGTGTATTTTAATGCCACACACTAAATCAAAGTGCAATAATGTATAAAACACACTGACTCTCTCTCTCTCTCTCGCTCTCTCAGAACACACACAGGCTGACTGTGGCTGCACTCACGGGGGGTTGTCACACTTTCTCTGCCTGAACTGCACTCCAGTGCCACAGGTCCGGCTGCACATGCTCCACTGGCTCCAGGGGCTCCAGTCCCCATCGATGTGCTGAGGGATGGGGCTCTTAATGACACACTCCCCTGCTCGGCACCACTGCAACACAGGGATATAATCAACTCTAATGATCAGTGTTTTTACTCTTATCTTTAAGGTATTTTTATAGGATTGTTCTTACAATGACTATGAACATTCAATTAATCAAGCTCTAGAACTGCTACTATAAAGAGTAATAATATTTGCTCCCATTGGGTGGGGTTTATGTAACTTTCTGAGCACAAAATATTATTAAGGTTGTTTACATTTATCTTACCTTTTGCATATAAAACAGATAACTCCGGCATAGCAGACTTCATTCATCATCTGCTTAAAACTAAATATGATGTTTTGTTTTGTTTAGTTTTTTTATGTTTCTTAGGGTGCATTCACACTTGCTTATTTTAATCTAATGTTTGTGCAACTGTCAATGCACCCATAGTGGGAATAATGAGTGCGTGTCTGTAATGAACACCTTTATTTCAGCAATTTTTTTAGCTGAAATCTATGCAGTGGGTCTTTACATATGGGTCTTTGGCATATGGGCTAGTACTACCAACCTGAGTAAAAAAGGGAAAAAAGTTGCTGTGAATGGGGAGCGTTGTACCTTGTCCACTCCACACTCAGTCCCATCCAGAGGAGGGTCCAATTTGGTCTTACAGGCCGAGTCTCCCTCTACCATACACCACAGACCCGCACACATCAGGTGCTGCACACACATAAATGACAGAGGTCAAATCAATAACATAACAAGAAGAAAAGCAAGCCTCCCTGTTTTGGTTAAAAATCATTGTCATTATTCTGAACAGGAAAATATCCTACTTCCATGTCTGTGCAGAAAGTGGCATTGGTTCCAAAGAGGATCTGGCACTGCTCGTCCACACTGTAGTGCATCCCGGGCAGTTTGGGAGAGAGCCGCACCTGGTATCGGCTCCGGGGGTCAGTGTGGAGCAGGCAAGCACTGGCTTTAGACCTGACCAAAGAGGAAATCTATTAGACCATGTGCTTTAAGACATACTAGTATAAAATATAAGGTAGTACTTTACTAAAAAATACAAATCCCAGACAAACAAAGTGGTGGAGGCCAACACAGACATGAACTGAATGCAAACTCCACCTAGTCTGGTAACTGAACCCCAAAAGAACTTCTACAATTATGTACATTTCATAACGATTACTTATAGTAATTTAGTATAGTAATTTAGTGTATAATGTAAGCTCTTAAAATTCACTACTGTTTCCAATAGCGTCTTCAAAGTAGGCACAAACACGGTCTCCTTGTACCTCTACTGCGAGCATGTGTCAACAGTGCACTGAGTGAAACAGAGGGACAGCTGTACCCACTGTGTCTGTATATGTGTGGGAGGGTGTGTGGCTACAGCAGAGACAGCAAGAGCAGCGTCTCCAACTCAGACACTGACTCCAACACACATGAGGGTGAGTCCTGTTGTACAGACAGCATGACAAAGACAACTCCAAGCTCCATCTGTGTCTTTAAATTATTCAAAAGACCCAAGAAACAGACAAAGTGACAAAGTGCTCAAATCTGAATACATTACATAAAATATGACCATAGTAGATTAGCAACTGATCAGTTACAATGCACGTGTCAAACAGTTTCACTTAAAAAGAGATATTCACATGCCACTATGGATGCACTGATCCAGCTTTTTCAATTTTATATTAATAAAATAAGACAAAACTGATCCAAATGTGTTATGTAGCTGTTATATATCCTTGAAGTAAATTCAAGGCAGCTTTGTCTAAATAAAAAAAGAATTACGCATTAAACAGACTTTCTGTGCAAGCTACTTCTAGTAAATAGTCCTGTCAATGTATATGTCCAACGAGAATATCAGGTGAAACCGATATTTGGAAGCCGATTTTTCAGGATCAGCATCCCTACATCTCATGTTTTTGTAAGTCTGTAAGATGATTAAGTCTAGTCTGAGCCTGAACAAGGACAAAAACAAAAACAGGAGTGTGTGTGTTCACACTTGCACATACACCACATCAAAATTCAGACTAAACTAAATTCAGAACCAGTCATGGACTAGACTATACCAGGACTAAAGCAGGACTAGAACAGGTTCAAACCATGTCTACTTCTGGATGAAATTGAGCTCAAAAAAGGACCAAACTAAATGTGAAGCACCATTACTTGAATCAAGATTAAAACAAGACTAAATCAGGACTAAACTTGTCTATTTATCTTATAGTGCTTATATGCCATTAAAGGCTCTGAGAAACTAGTCAGAATCTTAACCTGAGGAAGTTCTCCAAGTCGTCCCGGCTGCAGGAGGACCAAGAAAGGTCACTGGGGTTGCGACCTTTGACCCATTCTCCTGACATGATGTGGGAGTGTCCAGTACAGGAGGCATGGTCATCGTCATGGCTCATCCCCATGCTATAAACAAGAGCATTATTCAGAGAGAAGCGTGACAAATTCTATTAAGAAGCCCATGACACAACAGGAAAGATAATGTGCTAATGTGGAATCAGTAAGAAGTTGCATTCATGTTGTGCTTGAATGGATAGGTGGATAGGGGCCTATGTAGCTCTATGGGAGATTTACTGTTTTGGAAAGAAATATATAAATGTCTGACTGTGGTTTTAAATATTTTCAACTGACACTACTCAACTACATTATATTACTAAAAAATGGCATCACTTTCTGAAGCTTCTATGAAATTAAAATGTCACTTTAATTCTTTTACACTGAAGTTTCTCACAGATTTATTTCAACTGTACTAATTACAGAAATATTAACCAATTTTGATTGATTGATTTGATTCCTTGCAGCCGATGTCATCAACAGTCCCTGGAATGTTGGAAATTAATTGAAGGCACTGCTCGGTCTGAAGTTAGTCAAGTTAAGCCCACCACGCACAACAGGGTTTTTCAGTCGTAAACAATTTTTTAGATGTACAACAAAAAGTGCACACCACAGACACAAGAGAATCTTATGAGATTTTAAATTTCCGAGTGCTAATACTACTGCAGGATATGGTCGTGGATCACAGGCTTAAAAGTTGTGAACAAACCTCACATCTGCCGTTTTCTGTCTAGAGTAAAACCACTCGCTTTGAGTCTCTTAGGTGTTCAAAAGACAAGAGCATTGCACTTCTAGTTTGGATACAAGTCAAAACTGTGTTATTATTATTTGTGAAATGTGGTGCAACACAAGGTTGGTAATAAATTACACAAGAAGTAGTCAGTCTATCATTAATCTGTGTGAATGTAGACATTCACACGCCTTTTTGCTTTTAAGGAACGCTTCAAACTGGATTAATAGCACTATTCTGTGAACTGGGTGTCATTATTTGAGGAGGACAACTTCTATAGATAATATGGATAAGATGCTGCAATTTAATTTTACAGCTTTCTGCGAAGTAAGTAATGGAGCTAGTGTAAATTCAGCCTGGAAGACCTAACTTCGCTTCCATCTATCTCACTGCTTCTCCAGTGTACCTCAGCCTTCATCATCTAACTCCAAATATGCATAACCACCGCCACCTCCCTTTGAGCCATCCCCTACCACATCTCCCACCTGTAGTGTGTGGCGGGCTTTAGTTGGAACTGCAGCAGGTGAGTTGATTTTCTGCTGTTAAACAAGTCCCTCTCAAACCACATTAATCACAAGCTGGCTAGCATTAGGCAACCTTTTTTCAGTTAGTCACTCTCACCTTGTTTGTTGACAATTAAACACGTAAAGGGGATCATGAACTCGCTTATTAATCACAGGCTCCTGAAATTGTGTTTTTAAATCCATTTTATATGGTTTCAGACTTTTATGGCAAGGTTTGGTTATGCATTGTGTCACCATGGTAACTACTGAACATTCAACCATGGACATACATGCAGAAACCCCCCTTTAGCGTGTCTCAATTTATGATGTCACTGCAAGGTATCAATGTGGAGTGCCCCAGGGTTTAATTCTTCCTCTTTGCTCTGTACCTCGTCCCACTGAGTGAAATTTTTATAAAACATTGATTTCAATATCATTTTTACGCAAACGATTGTCAAATTTACCTGACACTCAAAAAACTTGCTTCTGCCCCCTGACACCTCTCTTTCAGTGTCTTAGTGATGTCAAGGCTTCACTCAAAGCTCAAGTAAAGCCAACCTTGGCATCATTATTAACAATGTCAAGTGGACGTGGTTGTCAGATCTGGCTTTTATCATCTACGGCTTTTATCCAAAGTGAAACCTTTTTTATCTTTTAAATCATTTAAACATGTCACGCATGCTATTATCTCCTCTTGTTTCGACTACTAATGCACTTTTCTCTGGCATTAGTCACCATGCACTTTCTCGTTTACAAAATTCTACTGAGTGCCTTTTAACTGAAAGCAAAAAATTGAGAACAATGCTCCCAATTTGTCGCATTGTTTCATGGGCTTACAGTTATTTTTAGAGTTGATTTTAAGATTTGATTGTTTGTTTTGTAAAACTTTGAATGGACTGGCTCCACAATAAGTTTTGGACTTCATCCAAATTTACACCCCCGCAGGTGCACTGAGGTTCAACGGCCACCTCCAGCTCGTGATTTCCAGACATAAAACCAGGGCTAAGGGCCATTTCTGTGATCGGTTCCAAGCTCTGGAACGCTCTGCCCCCCCACGTCCCAACAGCCCCCACAGTGGAGTGTTGCAAGTCTTGTCTTAAGTTATTATTATCTTTCCTCGCTGCTTCCTCCTTGATTCCTCTCCTCGATCCTCCATTTTTCAGATGTCAATCAAATGTGTCAGAGCTGAAAACCATGGAAGGAGGCAGACAGCAGATCAAATAATCAAACTTTATTGGTCTCAGTGAGGAGTTTATATCCTCTCATCTTCCTGTGTCTATGGGTGGGACTTCCTCACCCATTTCCTGAAGAATCGAGGAGAGGAATCAAGGAGAAGGAAGCGAGGAAAGAGAAATGAGTTGCGCCAGGAGAGTTGTGTAGTCCTCTGTGGTTTTTTTATTGATTTAATTTAAATGTTTATGTTTTATTGATTTTATGTATTTATTGCTATTTTATGGGTTTGCTTTTATTTGACTTTAGCGGTTTTAGTGTTTTAATACCTTTTGTTGTTTTTAATGTTATCTTTATATGTGCAGCACTTTGGAAACTGTTTTGTTGATATAACATGCTATAAAAATAAAGTAGATTTAAGATTAGAATAGGGATTCGAGAATGTTATAATGTCATTGAGAGAAAGTAAAAACAATAGACATGGACTTACTTGTGCCCGAGCTCATGGGCGATGGTGAAGGCCAGGTTGAGTCCATTGTCCTCGGCCAAAACACACTTCCTCTTGGAGCTGCAGACCCCTCCCAGATAGGCAATACCTACAACACAGAGCCGTGGTGGTCATCTATAAATATCACAAGAGGCTCAGCAGTACTAAGCATCTGAATCAACACACAAATTAAAATGACATGACTTGGGCTGCACAATATCACAATCAAAGCAAAATTGCAATTTGAGATGGTGCAATTATCAAATGGTAAAGACTACATAGAAATAATAATAGTAGTACAGAGTCCAGGGACACATCTTCAGATTTTGATCTCGTCTTCGTCAGGACTACTGTTGTCACGATATTAAAATTTCAATCTCAATTTCTGTGTAATTTTCAGCACAAAATAATAGTGCTTTCTTTAAGTTTCCACGTGGTTCAGTACTAGCATTGATAAAAATATTTGTTAATTGTTAAATTAGGTATCTACTGTGTTTTTTTCTGGTTTTAGTATCGATTAGTATCTGATTTTTTTATACTTTCGACAACCCTAGTCAGAAATACCTTAGCTGGAGGATTGTACCTATCGTGTATGTTTTGGGTTGATGGAGGAAATTGGAGTGTCTAAAGTAAACCCACCCCAACACAGGGAGAATATGCAAATTCCACACAGACCCATATGGTGCTCGCCACTGCAATTGTAGTTCCAAGCATGTTCTGAAATTCATGGCATTCTTCTATTAGTTTATCACTTCCTATCCCAAGCAGAGACTGGACTTTAAAATATGCACTCTGAACAAAATTCTACTTTTTAAATTGAAAAGCAAATCTCATCGCAATCACAATACTGTTTTTCCAAAATTGTGAAACCCAAACAACATTAAATGCACATTGCAACACATCATTTCATATAACAAAGGAAGAAAGTGGAACATACTAGTATATGTTTGCTATTGAAAAGCTTCTTACTGTAATTTGGATACTGTTTATTCCAACACCAGAAGCTGTGGTGTGTGTTTGGTCGTATGGAACAGATGTTGGCCGCTCTGTGGGCTGTTTGTTTTTTACTGCCACACTGTAAGGGCAGGGTGTAATTACGTCTAATGCCTATGATCTGATCCAACAGAGGGAAAGAATCTGAGGCATCCCCCACAAAAAGGAAGAAGACTGGCTCTGCACTTTTACGAGGTGTCAGAGGAGATGATTAGACTGTATAGGACTCAGGGGTAAATCAGGGGGGCTACAGCCTGTCCCCTGGGTGTAGAGGTAGAGGTGGGAGCCATATAAAAAATGAAAAGGCTATAGAAGGATTTGTTTCAAAATAAAAAAAACACAAACTTCCAGATTAACCTTCCACACAAATATAAAATGTGCAATACTCAAACCTCAACCACAACCTTGCTGTTTCCCCATCAATCTTGTACAAAAGTCTAATCCTCCAGCTAGGACTCAACCTCATAATCTGGCACCAGGCACTGCACTGCTGTCACCCACTGCTCCTGACAAATTACCCCACCAGCACTGAAAGATGGTTTAAATTATGGCTAGGCAATTAACACAGTTTGAATTGAGATTAAGTTGTTTATAATAGTCTTTTGTAATAAAATTTATATTCTTGGGTCTTGAGATTGAATTGATTGAAACTGAGAGGTCCACAGCCAGCCCTTTGATGGAAAATGCATGTGGTCTTGAGTACAATTCAGATATCTGAAGAATAAATTTGACTATTTTTTGTGTTTTAAATTACATTCATTTAATCTTGTCAATCTCTTCATGATTTTTTTTTTCCTTTTTGAAAATAGAACTGAAGAAAGTAAAGTGTTCTCTGTCTCTCTTCAAAATCTAACAATTTTTTGCCAGAGAAAGTCAGCATCATTCTGTATCTATCAAACAATTCCACAGTTTTTTGGTACAAAGTAATTCCAGATATTTGAAGATAAATAAGACTATTTTTTGTGTTTTTTATTTTGTGTGTGTGTGTTTGTGTTTTAAATGACATTTATTTAATCTTGTCAATCTTCTTCATGACATCAATACTTTTTTTTTCCTTTGTGAAAATAGAATTGAAGAACGTAAAGTGTCCTCTGTCTCTCTTCAAAATCTAACCATTTTTGCCAGAGGAAGTCAGCATCATTCTGTCTCTATCAAACTATTTTTCCACAATTTTTTGGTACAAAGTAATTCCAGATATTTGAAGATAAATAAGACTATTTTTTTGTGTTTTAAATTACATTTATTTAATCTTGTCAATCTTCTTCATGAAATCAATACTTTTTTCCTTTTTGAAAATAGAAATGAGAAGTCTGTCTCTATCAAACAATTTTTCTAAAGTTTTTGGTACAAAGTAATTCCAGATATTTGAAGAATAAATTTGACTATTTTTGAGTTTTTTGTGTTTTAAATGACATTCATTTAATTTTGTCAGTCTTCTTCATGAAATTTTTCCTTTTTGAAAATAGAATTGAAGAAAGTAAAGTGTCCCCGTCTCTCTTCGAAATCTAACCATTTTTGCCAGAGGAAGTCAGCATCATTCTGTCTCTATCAAACAATTTTTCCACAATTTTTTGGTACAAAGTAATTCGTTCTTGCAGAAGTCTCAAGTACCTAACAGTAAAGATTGGGATAGTTCTGATAGTTGCTCAGTTTATGCATATTTCCTTTGTTCCCTAGTTTGCAATTGTTTAGATTGGTGACCGACCAGATACGGCAGGTGGAGTATTTGGCCTACTGCTGAGCTGGTTGTAACACCATGACATAAACCCGCCTTCCAATATCTACAAAATTCCACAGTCCCTAGAATTCCACAGATCAGCAGTTGTCAGGGCAGCTCTGTATCCCCTGATCAGCAGATTGGATTTGCATTTCGATACAATTGCTGAATGATGTAATGAAGAGATTAACATTGATCCTCCAGACCCGATGGCTACACGAGGTCTTTCTGCGTGGGTAAGCGTGGAGAGAGGGCCTTTATCTGCCCAGACACACATATTTGTACACAGGTCTGCACAAACACAAATATACACCCAGACAGCAGTGTGTTTACTGAGGGGACAGTGGAGGAGCAGCTATAAAAATAGGTAAACAGGGGATAGAAAATTAGCATATTTGACTTTGACATTTATTTTAAGTGCCTATGATTACTTGGTTTGGTGGTCAAAATTTATCATAGTTTTACGTCTTGTTGTGGAGAAAAGTACGAGAATGCAAGAAGGAGAGGAGAATTCTAAATTAGAGACAATTTACGCGTAACAAACACATTTTTCTGGGAGTTTAAACAATCATCAAGAAAGAGGCGTAGACATCTATTTTCACTAGTCTAAACATATTTGTATGAAATTTACATGTTTGATGTTTCGGCCATTTGTTAACATTATTGTTGTTAGGTAACAGTTATTATCTGTTGCCCATGACCAACCACGAAGTAAAATTATTTCCATGTATTTCTGCAAAACCTGTCTTGCCTCAGCACAGATATATTATATAAGCAGTTCTTTGAGGTCAAAATAAATCTGCTGAGCACTGTCTGAATTTAATTATAAAGCATTTTATTGCCCGATAATCAGGAAGCGCACTGTTAGCATGCCAATTGTTGTTACCATTACTGTGATGGGAAAGCTCTATAAATAAAGATGGACTGCTTGATGTTGGTTTTGGATGTGGCGAGATGTTCTTGTTGTGGAGCAAACCAGAGTCTCATAAGTTTTGGTGCACCACATGACTCAGCTGGAGTACTTACCCACAGTGTCACACGGCTCGTCTTTGTGGACGCAGAAGTCTGTTCTGAAAGAAACAATATTTTTCTAATTCCAATATCTGTCTTCAGTTTACAACAAAACCCAAACAATACAAAAGGAAAATCCACCCTGGTTAGTGCAAGACAGTAGGGCTGTAGTTGATTGAAAACAATTCTTGGTTGACAAAACGCATGTCCAAATAGTCGACTAAAAAGAGAAAAGGCAAAGCTTTTCAAAACTAAAACTACACCTGCACGGGAGTTTATGCAAAACTATTTATGCACAAAAAGTACTAGGAAACTACGGTATGTATTTACATAAAGACAAGACTGTGAATCATGTGTTTGAGCCCTTCACATATAAATAGAAAACATACCAAAGTTAATTCAGGTAATTCACTTACTAACTTCTCCTTTCTGCTGTTGCTCCATATTTACAGTAAATATGCATAATCAAAATTAAATGATTGGTCACCAAATAAAAATGTCTGATTAATTGTAAATGCCTAATGCTGGGTGTACACTGTGTACACATGGGTCCTGCACAACTTATAAAGTCTTTAAAATCAGTGCGCCCTGCCACACTGACCTCTGGGGAGTGTGGGCGCAGGTGAGGTGTGGGTTTCAGGCCATTAGATGTGATTGATCATGTGAACCCACATGAAACTGTGTTGCTTTGATCAAATATGCACCACAGTTGTTGTAATTGGTGTATCAGGCAATCTTAGTTACCTGCTCAAAGCATGTGCCGAACCCAACCTGCAGTTAGTGTAAATCCAGCAGGAAAGTCTTTTGGGGATTTTAGGTGCCTTAACTAAGGAAACCTACTTTTACAGTGCTTTGTTGGAAGGTTTGTCCTCCCTTTTTGTGTTGTATTATTTTAGTTTTGGGAAAAAATAAACATTTGGAAAAAAACAACACTGTCCTTTGCTTTATCACTTTGAGTGATAAAGTAAGTGAGTCACAGCACACCATTCCTCCAGAGCATACTCTCTCAACTAACATCCACCCTGTGGACTATCATCTTCTGTGCACTTGTGACCACATGGAGCCATCCTAGATACACATAACTACACTTAACTTGACAACAGCAGTATTGTACCTGGTGACCAGCACAGCAGCATCCACAGGCACGTCGTCCCTTGCCCCGGGCAGATAGTTGGTGCCCAGGTGCCTAGTGCCCAGCTCATGGTACTGCCAGTGACAGAAGCTCTCCAGGGAGCGCTCCCCGTGGTGGCTCACCTTCAGCTTGGCCTTCACAACACAAAACATATTTGCAATCTGAGGAATCCAAACATCATTTTTTTTAAATAAGAAACTGTATAAATGTCGTTTATTACTATTATTACGATTATTATTTTGTATTATTCAGACTGTTGCATATTTGTTTTTGCATCAACAGGAAAGTCATTGTGAAATTGGGTAATTATTACCACACTCCCCAGTACCAGACCAGTATGTGGTTGCTGTGGTTGTGCTAGGAAAGGCAAATGACAGAAAGCAGCCAAACAACTATGTAATAGCTTCACTGACAAAACCCAAAAGAGAAAACTAAAACATTTCTTTTTAGCATGTTGTACATACTGGGCGGTTATGGAGCAGCAGCAGCTTGGTGACTCGGATGTTGATCCTGGCTCCCAGACTTTGGTGCTGAAACATGTTGTAGACCTGCACAGCAACAGTTCAAAAGTGAGGAACAGACCAATACAAATATATAAAATAAACATTCATTTATAAAGACTAGGACTACATATCCTAAGCCATCCAGAATAAAGGAAACTTTTGCTCATATTACACTATTTTCTGATCTATGTTATAATGTTGTTACCTCATGAAAAACATAGTTATGTTTTGTTTCATTCACACATGTTTAACACACAAACCCACTTTGTAATGTCATGTGGTAATACAGGAATTGTCCATTGTGTTTTTAAACCCCATACACATTCACTAGAATCATTTGGATAATTTCAGCCCTGGAATTGGCAATCTCTGCTACACAAAAGATAAAAGGCAGCTGTTAACTAACTAATTAACTATCTACTATACTAAACT